AAAATCCCCGGTACAGTCCACACCGGCGATTTAGACTGTTTGCGATGCAGGCTGAACGGAACCCGGGAATAAGCTTGTTCTCTACGGATAACTTTAACACCTTCATAACATAGAACTCGCTTTAATATAAAGATTCGCTTGGTCCCATAAAATACACCATTCATCATTCATCAGTAGAAACTCCAACTGACTCTATATTACGGACATCTTCATAATATGGGTATCTCCATATTACGGGCGATGCACTTGGTCCCCCGAAAAAAAAACAACTAGAGTTAATAATTAATCTCTACAAGTACCTTAGCTCCGCCCGTTTGCTCAATCTGAATGGCAAAGGCCCACTGCATAACATCATATTTCTAGCTAACTGGAACTTAGTTTAATTTACTGGATATATGATAACATCCATGACCAACCATTATTCTTTTTGGTTTTCAGCACTACAACTAAAATAATGTACTTCCCAATGCAACAGGAGCTGACATTAGCCTTCCGTGTGAAATGCTATCTACCTAAAACGAAACCTTAAACGGTGAATAAATAAACGATGTCCTTGGGAGGGTCTCAAACTACGAAATGTAAAGGTAAAGGTGTAGGAAAATATTCTACACCATTCTTGAATAATGATACGGCCGGCCAGTAGCAGACCCAGGCCTCTCGCCTCTTTGAACTCCAACGTCAGGAGGGCCTACATCGAAAGGAACAGAGTTAAAAGTCAGTCGGCTGAGTGACTCCACAGAGTTGTTTTACAACTGCTGTTGCAACGCGAATGGAGCTAGAAGAATGTCTCATCACTCATCAAAACAAATCATTCTCTCTTGTTTGTTGAACGCGCGCGCCATTTCATTACTATTATCGTCGGGGAGTAGAGAGGGGTGAACGGACGGAGATTTTTGATATGAAACTAAATAAGAAAAAGAAAACATTTTCCGCGCTTCTATCGAGTTATAGAAGTTTGGGAGAGCGAGAAATGCTGTGGGAACACGAGCCAATAGGCAAGTGTTTCCACAGCTTTTTCAAGTTCTCCCAAACGTTCGCGAGTGTTTCTATTTAACAAAATGATTGTGAGCTAGGTAGCGAGGGCGCACACCGAATCAACTATCAAGCATAAAAATCAAGAGCGAATAATCTAATTGTTTTAGTATAACGGCTACTAGTGGTCGCTCAGAAGTTAAAGAACAATCCTCTTCAAAGACACTTAAAAACGCAAAGAAAGCGGCCGCCATTTTGTTAAAAAGCGCGCACTGCAAGGCTACTCACTACAACAGGGTAGATATTAATGAGTAACGTAGCCAATCAGAGAACGGAATTCCTGGTAGAACGCTGTAGATTTAACTAAAACTCGATTTAAAAAAAACAAAAAACAAAAAAACACAAAAACACAAAAAACAAAACAAAACAAAAAAAAAGGCACACACACACACACCCACACCCAAAAAATGTTTTTTAGAAGGGCTGCACCCAAAGAAAATAACGAACGTGACTACTACTAACAACTTTCCTGTGTTTCTGTTGAGTTATCGATGGGGTTTCAAGCAATCAGCGCGAATACTTTCTTTGGCCTTTTCTCTAACCTACAATATCTGATCCTTACCCAAGCAATCGTCAAATCTTAAATGCATCATTCTCTCCACTCCAAACCAAACACCACGACAACACGAAACAGTAAGGTGAAACGTCTGCGTACAACCAAGTGTCCTATACCATGGGAGCTTATCTCTGTTTCTGTAACATTAATTCGTCCGCCCCCACACCCTACCCGCTAAAATCGGACGCTAGTCCATCATAGCGTTTCTTGCCCAGGATCATAACACAATGGCCTCGGCCAGGGCTAGAACCCAGAACGCTCGTTGCGGCATCCAGCGCGTTCACCACTAGGTCACCGCGTCTGCTGCTCAAAAAAATTGTACATCCCTAACCTTTTAATTATTCTCAATGGACGAACACCTACCATTGGCTGAAGCCCCCGATCCATCGCTAACAGTTTGGCCTCCCACTTCGGTCTCCTCTTCCGCATTATCATTGGCTAATTCAGCAGCAACACGTGACGCCAGGTAATTGGCAAGGGCTCTGTAGATTTGTTGACTTAGCACTGGGTCGATAGAAGGCTGGGCGCTAGGAGGTACCGTGGTTATTACAACTGGGAATGTTATATCGGTGTTGAAGGCTTTGGCCACTCGCACAATGAACTAAAAAGAAGAAACTTAATTATTATCGTGTTATCCATGGTATCATTATAAAGGGTAACCAGATTCGGTCAGTTGTAGACAGCTGCTATCAGTGTAGACCCTGTGTCGGAAACTCAGTTTAGCCTGGCTTGACTGAGGCGGATACAGGATTTTGGCGAAGGGGGTTCGAGACCTGACGGACCACCCATGACGGTCCCCAGAAGGGGGACCCGGAGGCATCCTCCCGCAGATAATGTTTGAAATTGAGGTCCTCCGAAATGGGATTGGCCAAGTCAGCGCGTTATATCTCTCATACATTTTTTTTTTAATTTAGGAGGTTTCACCGAACTTCCCCCACCACCACTCTTCCCTCCCCACTAGATTCACCCCAGCTTGAAGCACTCACGTACCCTTATTTCGTAGGATATCTCGATACAATTGAATCCCTTGGTTGTTGGTTGAACAGATGGAATGACAAACGAATCAAACTCAACACTAGTCTCCTCTCCCGGTGCCAGTCCTCGCTCGTTCTTGACGACATAAACCTTTTCAGTACATGTGCGTGTCGTACCTTCAAAACAAACAAGTAAACAAAACACATTCATAATGCAACTCATACCTTTCAAAAACCCGAAACTCGTGCGATCTTGTAAACTTAACTAGACTCCATTCAGTCCTATTTGAAGGTCTCCATGGGGTGAGGGATTTTCCGGCTAAAAGTTAATTCATTTCTCTTACAGTTAACCGAGTTCTTAGAATTTTAAAATAAACAGTGTTTTTAAAATAAGTTAAAAATTAATTTTCATTATGTAAAAAAATTAAAAATTTATTGTGATTACTGTAAAACATATCCAATATCTTAATTACGACCATTTCGGGATGGAAAAGGTATTATTATTATTAAGTCTGCTGGCTTTTACCTATGCTACCAAAGAAGAAGAAAACACACAAAATGGCAAGAGATCTTGAAACTTTCGCTTTCGTGGCTTAAATCGCCTTACGGTTGACATTTTTGAGTAACAATTTTGAGGAAAATTTTTGGCCCATTTAACGACCAACAGTTAACCCCATTGACGCCTTCCTATTACTATGATAGGCTCGGTTACCGTTTGTGAAGCAAAACACAACAAATATCCTCTAGATCACAGGAGCATGCTCTTCCAATTTGCTAATAAATGAGCTAACATAAAAATATTGTGTGTAACTACTAATGTAAAGGCAATAAACTGTGGGCACTTTCAATTCCATTAAAAATTCCAGTTTGAATTCCGGGAAATTTTCAGTGACGAATGATGAAACAGCCTTTTCAAGAATTTCCTTAAAAGAGGACAACCTTGCGAGTACATTGTAAGCCAAAATGTTCGGAAATTTCTTCCCGCAAATTTTAGTTCCGACATTCCTCCCGGAATTTCAGGAATTTTCGGTTGAATGGTTCGCTTTTCCGAAATTCAACAATTTCCAAATTATCTGGTAACTTTCCAGAAAATTTCCGCACCATATGTCCCCGTTTCGAAATTTTTGGAATGTTTGGTTGAACGGAGAGCGCCCGGTAACTCCCTTACCCTGAGGCGCCTTAAAGAGCACCCTTTGCACAAGCTGTACTTCAGTTCCTAAGACTTGTTTGCCACTCTCATTGCTGATATTTCCTGATATCTTGACCTCCTGACCAGGACAGTAGGCCAGCCGGTCTATACGCGCCTTGGCATACAGCTGACCTGATGGACAACAAGGCCATCCTAGCATACGGTCTTCTCGTTTCATGCTTGGTTCCTGTAGAAAAAAGAAAGAAGAAAGACATTGCTCGTTGTAAGCACAGTTAGCTGGGGTAACGCATAATTAGCTAAAAAGAAAAAAAAAAGGGGGGGGGGGGAAGGCGGACGACTCCACAGAAGCAGCAGCAAAGTTAAACCTTAGCGCGCGCAGACTGTACTGATTACCTCGTGTGACCAAGTTGCTTTTCTCATTTACCTTACTATTGACTATTTTTACAAGTGAATATATGAAAGATCATATATTTGAACTGGAGAGGAAGATGTATGAAGACATCATCGCAATTATACACACAATTTCTGAAATTCTGAAATTTTGAAATTCTCCGCAGTTCAACTCCTCCACAGTTCAAATAAATTATATGGTCTTTCCTATATTCACTTGTATCTTTATCGTCTACGGGTATATTACGAACTCATAACGTGACCAGCTCCCAGTTGGCTTGATAGCTCAGTTGTAGAGCACTGCACAGGTATCGCAGAGGTCACAGGTTCGAATGCCGTTCAGGCCTGAATTTTTTTTTTCAGGCTTTAATTCCACAACTGCTTAAGTTGTGTGTATAACTGCGATGATCAAGCATGTCTTCATATTGACTATTTTTGTAATAATGACGCAAATATTGCAAGGGATTAGTGTCATAGTATTAAATTCGCGGCATTTCCTCTCTAACGGCAAAAAAAGTAACGATTCTGCGGTTTTCTTCTTTTTGTATTGGCGTTTTCTCATTTAGGAATTCTTAATCGCATCAGCAATATTGAGTGCACTTTTGGCCGCAACCTTGCAGCGTATGGCTACGTTGATTGTAGCATCTACAAGAAATGCTGCTTGTAATGTTGTTGTGTGTGTCGTACGGTCCGGGTCAGATTTACATCATTTCCGAGTTCATTTAACTAACATCTCTTTGAAAATGAGTCTCAGCGCAAAGCAATTACGTGAAACTTTTACCCGCACGTTCATTTTCATGCAGACCAACAAACTATTTTCGTTTGAATGGCTTCGCATCATCATGAAAAGTCGGTAAGACAGTGAGACCAACGACAACTCTGTCAGAAACTGGCCGTGCGCCAAAGAGATCTGCGAACGAAGTCGTCTGCAGTAACAAAGCGGTAAGGTCTCGTCATACTTACGAGTAACGTAGCGTCGTTAACCTGTACGCGCTCGACGATAAAAAGCGGACTGTGGGTTTGAAGGTTAGATCTCCACGGCCGGTCCGCCACAGCGTGAAGCCAATACCTTACACTGCCATAGTCGCCTTCAAATGAGGTCGGCAGGCTGTGAGGAGGGAGAGGGAACTGGAACGGGAAGTTGTAATTTCCGGGTTGAAGCTTTACGTCACTTCCGCCTTGAAACGGACCTTACGGAAAACCATAATAAATTAGCATGCATGGAGATTAAAAGTGATATACTGATGAAAATTGTTATTAATTATGCCCCCCTCCGCCGGCAGGGGTTTTCAGTATTTCTTCGACTTTTGAAACCCAGATTTAGTAGATGAATATTATATATCGTGCATTTTACAACTCAGAAGAAATCGGTGAGCCAGGCATAAACATAGTGAGGTAAGAATGACTTTAAATAGAAAATGAGGAAGAAACTTTTAGGTCTCTCTTGCCGTAACAATCAATTTACTATTTTTGGACCTGATTCAGAGACCTTCTGTCCCAACATGTGTATTCTGTTGTGAGCATGAAGTCAAGTAACTTATGAACAGACTCCTGAAATAAAGAAACATTTGTTTATAACACTAAATTAAAGCACAAATTTGACTAATTTTTCATAAAAGGACACAATTTTGCCATATTTGACTAATCCAATTAGTTCTATAATTTGTGCATTAAAAATTTAGGTTTTAGGATCTTCTACTGAGTGTCTAATTGGCGTAATTACATCACTTTCGTTACCGCTGGACGTATCATAACTTGACCCCAATTAAGGCAATCGTTTAGCTCTTAATTAAGGATATCCGCGGAGACATTTGACGGCCAATATTGGCTTGCTCACTTGACGGTTGACGGTGAAAATATTGCATTTTTGACCGTTGACGGTGAAAATATTGCGTTTTTGACGGTTGACGGTTAATTTTTTGGCCACCCCATTGAGACCCTCTTGATTAACTTCTTTTTACCAAAACTGTCTGAAACGTTGAAGTCCTCGGGTTTGTAGCCTTACTCCCTCGAGATTCTTGTTAAGTGCCTGGCTCTGAATCAGCGATCGAGGGTTTTCAGGCTTCCTGCAAAAGGGGGCTCTAATTCTTTATGTACAATCCTATGTTTGATCCCGACGTAACGATCCAACGTTTTGCTGAGAATCTTCTTAAATGTTGCAATGGGTACGAAACCTCCAGAAGACTGGATACGAACCGACTGAAAATGGGTACGAACCGTCTGGGCAATGCGAGTCGTTTAAATTGGTTTAGTGATTGTATATGGGCGCTTTACATTGGACCAAATATTCCGATTTGAAATTCCGGGTTTTCCACGTGACGAATGGAAGAGTATTTCTCAGTTGGTTGGACCAACCCGTCCCAGTTCATCACGTTCCAAGTTACGAAACAAACGAAAAGAAAACAAACAGCAGAATGTGAAGGTGAATTAATCAACATGACACGAGCNCCGAGCTTAAAATTCACCATCTTTATTAACTTATCACTAAACAGCAGAATCTTTGCCTTTTTGGCCTTTTTTACTTGCTTAGGAGTTGATAAACGACTCTGAAATTGAAAAAAACGATGTATTGGGCGAGGACGACGATATGACTTTTACATCGAGTACGCGACTACTTTGAAGGTACGATACCTCTTTATTTTCCTGACGAGTTCAAGAGTCACTTTCGAATGACGAGGCAAGCTGTTCACTCACGCGGTCAAACCCACATTACGCAAAACTTACATGTATTTTCGCACCGCTTTAATACTAAAGCTTGTTGTGGCCAATCCACTGCAATAATGTTGAAGTAAGAGATTTTAAAAGTCGTCTGTCAGATAGAAAAACTTGAAGATTAGAGCCATGTCCGGGCTCGAAGAAACTGGGCCCGAGCAGGAATGGTCGAATGGAACGAATCAAGGCCGACGTCACCAGGTACACCCAAAATTTCGGAACGAAATTCCAGAAGTGTCTGTTCCATTCGCTCCCCCACTCGGAATTGAACACTTGGTCGAATGGAAAGCGCCCTATGTTACACTGCGATCTGTTACTTGCAAAGTACTGGGCTAAGCACAACAGTCCGTTATAACTTATCCAGCGCAGTACATGTAGTCAGTTCCCCTATTTACTCAGTTTATTCAGTGATAATTTGTGTACTGTACCATGGGTAACAAAAAAATGCTCCCTATTTCAAATCCTGTTTTTCTTTGTATTTCATGAAGTAAAGTTATTATGTAAAAATACTATGGACAACCCCCCCCCTTACCCGCTAGCGGAAATAATGACCAATCCGACCATCTCATAACTCAACCTATTATATGGAGAAGAGTGTTTTACTGGGAACTAAACCACTCGTAGATTCCATACGCCACTTCATCCGGGACCCGAGTGGCGTATTAAGAGATCATGCTTAAAAATTTATACGCTTGAACAGAGAGTATCACTCAGGGTTTGAAATGTTCATGAATCTCGGGAGAAATAGGTTTGTAAATACGGCCATACTGACCAAGAAGAAAACACAGTCTAGCTTGGAGAAATGTGATAGTCGAGAGTTTCCTTCATTGCCCATGTGTCTGTTCTGTATTGTTCCGCTTTGACTTGAAATTGATCGATATTAAACTCAAATGACTCGAATAATCAAAACAGTTTGCTAAACGTTTCGGATCGCGCCAATACATAATTTTTAAACAATTATTATTCCGTAGTAAGCAGATATTTATATCGCGCCTGAAAAATAATTGCCCACGTCGATGTCCAAACAAGGAATTACCAATCTAGTGACAGAAGTAATATTTCTTGAATAACACGGGTAATGATCACACATCAGGTTGCATGTATGTACATAGTGTTTTGTTTTAAAGCAGTGTTTAAAAACATATCATTCTTACCTCTGCCAAGAAGTATCGATTGAAAACTTAGATAGGTCTCTTTTCTTTCATAAGTAACTTTACCAGAACGAATTCGAACGTGACCGAGTCCGTGTAGCTCGACACGAACACTTCTAAGGTTGATGTCCTTGTCTGTGTTGAGCAACAGAGCGCCAGAAATTGTTTCTCCGGGCTGAAAAACCTGCCTGTTTTCAGCAAGGACGAAGGCAAACAGAGGTGGCATGGTTTATCGCTGCTTTTCAAACTATCCGCGCACTCAAAATTGAGGGCAAGTGACCTTGCGGCGAAAAACGTCGCCTGTGTTTAAAATTTCCTCCACAATATGGCCGCTTGACGGAAAAATAGCTGTTGCGTGACTCTTAGAAACTATCCATTCATGAATCATGATTTTATCTTTTGAAGCAAACAATGGTAAAGTAATTGTCAGGCGAGATTCAGGGATTCGTTGATTTTCAAAATTCGACAAAAAAAAATTGTGCACTTTGTTGTATTTATTTCGGAAGTTTTGTATTTCTAATAACACATCAAACAAATCAGCCAAAAATAGTAAAAAAAAATAGATAACAAACAAATCTTTCAACCCAGTCTTCCCTCGGGAATTGTCATCATAATGCCCAGTCTTTCTCAGAAGGCAATCTGTGGCGCTCGCTCCCAAACGTTGATATTCCCTATTTCGTATATGTCTAAACCTTCTTTTTGTCACTAATCAATCGTAAAATGCAGAAGTATTTCTCGAGGATCGAGGTCGGAGGTGTGAAGTATTATCTACTGACAGAACTATACAACAAAGGTAAAAATGGATTCGATCTGACAGTCTGTAATGGTGAAGATGTTTGGCGGGAATCAGGTAAGATCAGAGAACAGTTCTGTTAAAAAAAAACTTAAAGCTTACATGGAAGCTTTCAGTGGAAGAATTAATTGTCTTAAAGTCATCAAAAATTTTGAAAGGTTGACAAAAGTATTAAACTTCAAGCTGATAATAAAGCAGTCTTGCAATATTCAAATTTCGTTAATTCACAAAACATGCTAAAATAAGGCATTATAGTTGGAATCCCCGGGGCGGGCATGGCATTTGAGTTTTGATTGTTCAAATTCCCCTTTCTCAGCCGTAAATTTTATTCTTATGTCCCACCTTTTAACATATTTAATACGTGATCAAATGTCCAGATGACTTGCTCAAATTCAGTGCCTTCTCTCCCCCCNCCCCCCACCTCCTCCCAACAGATTACGCCTTCCATTTTATACCACATTATTCTATCCCAGGGCACATCAACTAGTTGAATCAGACTGACCTGGGTATCCCCAGGGGAGGGGAGAGTGGAAGTGGTTGGGAAAAGAGATGGGGAATGTTGATGTCTCTGTTTGATTGATAACTGTGTCGAGCTTACATACCAGACATGCTAAGCACCAATCCTCCGTAAGAAAAAGGATGGTGACTGGTACATTTATCCAGAATTCTTAGCCCATGAAAACTTTAACAATGCTCATAAAAACGTGCAGAAAAGTTCTATGATCTGCAAACCTAGCATACACAATGTTGTTAGCACAGAGACAAATATCACAAAAATATGGCTTTCCTGTTTTTTTATGGGCTGTGTAAGGTTCGCATGGTATTGTGGTAAAATATACAGCCGCCATCTTTTTTCCTACGGTGGATTGGCGCGATTAATGACATGTGTGTAACATCAAGGTTTTACCACAGAGGAACTGTCCAGTTTATACTGTAACAGGTTTCAGCGAGTTTTCTTTCTTTGTTTGTTTGTTTCTGTTATGTGACTTCCCAGTTGATTCACTGACTATTGAATCCATGGCCAAGACTGCAGATATGAGTGTGTCAGAATTTGCAGATGAGACAGGTAGAGCCCTGACGGGCCAGACAGTAGGTCAGGATAATTTTGTCTACCAAGCCAAGTTGAAAGGATCCAATTTACAGGTTAGAAGTGAGCCTTGAAATAGTTTTTTTTTAGGATTTTGCATTCATTTATTTCTTGGATATGAACTTTAAAATCCTTTGAAATCTGGAAACTGTCGAACACTACTGACTAGGATGTGTCAGTGGTATTACTATAATAATTACATTTTAATCTACAGCTGTATTTGAGTACACTAATTTATTAATACAAGAATAACATTAAGATCTTTTATACTGATTTCAATATCGCAAAGATTTGATTGCCTTGAGGTTCAGGGTTCCAGATTCACAAAGCTTTTTTGAGAAGTGTACATTGCTACTTAACAACAGACTTTTGTATTTGAACCATACGTTATATACATGTACATCTAAATCTAGACAGGCCTCAATTTGGATGTGCAGGTTCAAACTTTTCCCAGGTCATTTGTCAGTATATTTTCATTAATTTTTTTTAATATGTATCGCAGTGGCGTCATGGTTAGTGTGCTCATCTCGGGTTCAAGCCGTCTGGGTTCGAGCCATCTGGGTTTGAGCCCTGGCTGGGGACATTGTGTTGTGTTCTTGGGCAAGACACTTAACTCTCACTGTGCTTCTCTCCACAAAGGTGTATACATGGGTACTGACAAACTTAATGCTGGGGTTAACCCTGTAATGGACTACTCACTAGCATCCCATCCAGGGAGGAGTAGAAATATTCCTAGTCGCTTCATGCTACAGAAACTGGGATAAGTTCCAGCGTCGTGGGCCACTTGGCTCATATGCAGACCTTATACCCACATGTACCTTAACCTTACAGGGCAAGATACTTTTGAAATGCAACAATACATGTACAGTGGATTTCTCAAACCATCAAATTTTTTGAACCAATTTTCGATTCCCTTAGATGTTCAAAAAATCAGAATTCCACTGAATACATATTAAATAGGTACAAGGGGTGGGACGTCAGGAGTTGGGGGGTGCACAAGAGGCTTGAACTAAACTACCAGTACTTAACATTCTCCACAGAATTACATTGTACATGCATTAGGTACCAGCCTTCTGAACTGCTCCAAAAAGGAATTTCATATCCCTATTTCACACCTTGAACTATGTTTCACCATTTGTAACCAAGATTATATTTGTCTGCTTTACAGTTTTCTTGGAAAAAACACGTTGGAGATGGTGTCAAGGTACAGAAACTGGCTCAGTCTTGTTTTAGATTAGCATTAATTTTGATTCCAGTTAGATTTGTAACTTTTCCCTGAACAGAAGGTTTCTGTTTATATATATTGTTTGTCCTTCTATTTTGAGTTTGAATTTAGCTGATCTCAAACTACACAAACAAGCAGTGGAGAACTTTTTTATACAATAAAATTAAAATACTTCGGTTAATTTTTAATCCAGGATAATAGCGTTAACTGTCTTTCAAACAACCTGCCCTGGGTTTTAATTTTGTGGAGTGAGCGCTTGAATCTGTAAATTAAGGAAAATATGTAGCTAAAGCAGAATTTATTATAATCCATCATCGCGCGCGATTGGTCTAAACACGTCACATGACTGAATATTCCCCAGCCAAAACACATGATTTTTTGGGGTGTTTTATTATAGCCTAGTTTTCTATATTTTGGGGACACTTTTGATAAAGTAATTTATTCCACTTAAAAGCTTGTTGGATATGATATGATTATAATCAACTTGGTGCTATGCACCTCATTGGCTATCCACTGCCATCTCATGTCCAACGTGGAATAATTGTTAATTAATGAATATAAGCAAACTGAAAATAAATCCTTCTGTTTCTAACAATTCAGTTTCAGCTTGGATCATTGAGTCTATCAAAAGTTTGTAATGACAGTGTCCTTGTCATCAGTAGCATTTTTGACCTGGCAGTGGACCAAATGACACAGCTGAAGGTATAACAATTACAGTGCAGAAAATAGTGCATGTATTACGCAGTACATGTACCTGTAATCTATTTTACTTCTTGTCTCAGTCAGTGCAATCACCATCCTCATCACTGTCACTGATTAACCATTCGGTTATTAGCAGCTCTACTCACTCTCAGTTTCCATCAACATTTATAGTTTAAATAAGTGAGAGAAGAGGCTAATTTAAAAACTTTCAGCCATCTACATGTAGTTTCTGCCAAAAACGTCTCTGCAAACTAAAGCTACACAATCATACATTAGCCTGTACACCATTGAAGTGTTTTTACATGACTATTGCAACATTTTAGTTAATGTAATAATATTCTTATAAAGAAAGTTGTCTTTTAGGTTAAAGTGCATGTATTTGTTTGTTTGACTGTTGTATGTGTACCTGAAGGTAGTCTGAAATATTACCCTCCTCTTTTACTGTAGCAAGAAATGTCTTCCTTGAGATCTGACAATGCAAGACTTTCTTCCGAAAGGAAAGATGCTTTGAAGGTATGTAGTGACTATTAATATTCCTCTTGTTAGAGATGTCATTACTTCAGAGGCGATTTCTTGGTTAAAAGTCTCCTCTGCTTACATGTAATTGTATGTGATTAACATACAAATGTAAAATTCAAATGAAACTAGATAATTCATGAATAGATAATTCATGTATTAACTTTCGTGTAAAAAGGCAGTTTTGCAAGACCAAAGCAATCAGTGTGGCCAATCACAAAGGACATGTAGACAATCTAGGTACACTAGTCAGAACACGAAGCAAGTCGAACACAATGTGTACTCGGGATCCTGTGCAAGCAAATAACTCATATGGTTTTGTGTTTACTTCTGTTTGGATGTGAAGGTGATCCGAGTTTCCTACACCAATCACTGAATTTTTGTAGCAATATATTTGTGTGCAGCATCTTCATTTCGAACAAAAACACTAATTTCCCCTTCTTGATATCTTAATTATTTTTGTTTTCTTTTTAAGCTGCTCAATAATGTGTTCACTTTCACATTTGTTTTTCTTCAGAGAACTCCACTGGCACCTTGGTGGGGTTTGCCACATTTCTGTGGCTTGTGGCAGATTTTTCATCCCCACCTTTCCTGAGGAGAGTTCAATATTATTGGTGGTTTCAACAGTTTAGTTTCAAATAAAATCGTCATATTTGTGGCCATTTATAACAAACAGTTGATTATCATTTTTTGTCCTACATGTACCTTTCTCTTCAGCAACTTGTGCAAAGCATTGTGGAGCTCTCAATATATTAAATCACAAAAAGTGTCTCGCAATAAAACACTTAGTTTCCCCTCCTTGATGTATACCTTTTAATTATTTTTTTTCTTTTTAAGCTGCTCGATAAATGTGTGACGGCCAAGGAAGAAATGGAGAAAGATTTATTTGAAAAGGTTTGTGATGAACACAATGACTATTGATTTCTATTTGCCATTTCATTTACTTGTTTGCTGGTTTTATTTCGTACAGATCATATTTTTTTGTGACTGATGGAGTCATTGAAATTATATCACACCTTTTTTACCACATGTATATATGGGAAATTTTGTATGCATGCACATATTTTTTCCTATCACAAAATTAATTATTATTTGTATGTAAAACGATATTATCTTATGTCATAGACTTGCTACATTCGGTGCAAATTAAAGTGCCCATAATGTCAAATTTTTTGCCTTCTCATCTGATTCTTCATAACACCCAATTAACTTTCTCGAAACAATTTTTCAATTTGCATAACACGCAATTTTTTTTTACAATTTTTTAAAGACGTTCAAATTTGCCGCCATTTTGGTTCACCATTCGCACCAGTCTTCCTCGGTTTGAAGTGAGTCGTGACGTAGGTTCAGGAACACTTGATTTGGGTCGTGACTTATCTGACTTGAAAACAAGTGGGAGTTTTGCTTCAGAGTTGTCTACATTTAGTTGAAAATGCTGGAAAGGTGCATCGCTGGTCTTTGTAACAACATTAATGATCCAGAAAACAACATCAGTCTCCCTGAACCTGCATCACAGGCATCAGTCATGTGGCCATTTTGAGCACATTATTTTTGTGATCAGCGGCAGGGGTCGACCGCAAGAAGATAGAATTCTGAGCTTTGTAAAAATTCCTAAAAAAATTGCATTTTTTCCAAATGGAAAAATTTTTTTGCAGAAGCTCATTACATGAAATGTCAAATTAGATGAGAGAAAAGAAATGTTTGACATTATGGGCACTTTAAGGGCAACAGCTTCCTACCCCAGAGCTGCCTTGGATTCCAAGATATTTATGTGCTAGTCATGCATTTTGACATTTAAACTGTTTTTTGTTTGTTTGTTTGTTTCGTCTGATGTTGTGTAATTTTATGTTTCCTACATTTTATCCTCCAGTTTGTGTAAAAATCACTGACTTTTTCTTTTTGTTGCAGTTTGCTGCTGTGCTCAATGACAAGAAAAGCAAAATCAGGCAGTTAAAAGAATTAGGTGTGAACATTTACTTGAGCTGACCAGCCTGCTGTAATGTTTTGCCTTCACAAAATGTCCATGATACTCCTCAGTCCAGCCATACCTCTGGAATTTCCAGTTTTGGTTCATACTTTTTTTTAAGTAAAAAGTTTGGTTTTGAGACCCCCCTCCCCATTTCCAACCCTCCTTAGGGTGGGTATGGGTGGGTAAGGTTATTTTTTGGAACCATGCACACAACGTGTATGCACTGTATTTTATACTGGAAATTTTGTGTTGCTTTAGAATATGGTGTTGGAGGTAAATGACATACAGTAACAATATTTCCACTCCAAGAAAGACATGCATGTCAATGAAGAGCCTGCTCACACTGCGGGCTGGAACATGAAATGACAAAACTGCTTTGAACTGTGTGCATGACTGTATGAATGAATTTGCCAGTAGATAGTACAGTACATCATTCTTAAGTTTGATCTGCCTGTTTATTTATTCAATATTTGAATGTTTATAATTATTTTTGCAGTCAATGAGGCAGCTTCTGCTGAACCTGTACGAGGTACAATTATACACAATCATGTACAATTACCGAGTAAACATGGTTATGTGTAATATTATGGGCCAGTAAATTGTACAGGGTTTATAAATAAAGACTATTAACTGATAACTGACCCTCCTTTTGAAATTAATTAAGCAATAGACCACACGTTTTTATGGTTTATAGGCTGATAAACCACACGGGATGTTGGAAGAACATGAGAAGAATTCGTAAATCACGAGCCCCAGGCGAGTGATTTTTGAATTCTTTGAGTGGTTTATCAGCCTATAAACCATAAAAACTTGTGGTCTATTGCTTTTATATAATAATTCAGAAGATGTGCGCAATTTCCATGAGTTTACTGGCACAATAAACCATAGCTGATTGACCAATCAGAGTGCGTGCATTCATTTGATTATTATATCAAGAACAATTAACCAGTTCCCATGGTTTTAGTTATTCCAAGACAAAAAAATTGAATTAAATTAGTCTTGAGAATTAATGAAATTAGGTTTGAGAAACAATCAAGACACAATACTGTACATGTGTATGTTAACACCAATTTTATCAATGTTAATCTCATGAAGTGACATCTCATGCTGCGTGTATTTCTCAAAATATCACAAATTATGTCGCATTTAAGTGTAAACAGTGTTTAGTAGTAATTAACTGTTTAAGCTTGTGTATGTGCACTACTTGCTAAGCTTTACTTGATTTGACTTTAGGCCCAGACACATGGTACAACATTCCACACATTATTGTGTACAATGGCTAAATTAAATTGTGTGTCCACTCTGACTCTAGCCTGCAAACGCAGATGCATTTTCAGCTGTCACTTGGTTCCACTACGTTTGCAGGCTACCCTGGCCCTGAAATAGGTTGCATGCAATATTGCATGCAATGCATGATTACAGCTGAAGTAGAACCTCGTTCTTCTTCAGTCTGCAATATTGCAGGAAACAATTTTGGGGTTGGACACAGAAGTGAAAAATGTTGCATGAAATGTTGCACCATGTATGGCCCTTAGGTAGTGTTGTTTTAAAACTTCATACCTTTGTTTACTTAGGCAATAAGATAGCTGACTCACCTAACCAAAGTAACTCACATGACCAGCGCAAAGGAAAGTCCAAAGGAAAAGCAAACAGGTATACAGTATTATTTTATAACTCCAATAAATTTTGTTTGTCAAGTAAATGCATGTATTTACATACATTTATTGTAAATGTGTCCGAGACTCGATCATGGACTTGATCAATACTAATCAGTGACATCATAATCTTTTTTGTCATCTGTCATTAATACACAGTGCACATTTTTATGAGTCGCTACTTTAGTGTCGAAAGCTGTTATTTTCCTGCGTTGTTTTTCCAGGCATGAAGACTCAGAGGATGACACTGACATTGAAAAAATGGAATTAGAGGATGTGAGTTATGAAGTAGGATGAATGAATGTTTGTCATGTACAAACTGACAGTGATACCGTCATAAAGTACATGTAGTCATGAATGATAGTAATTATACATGTACATGTATGATATTACAAAAAGTTTCGGTTAGCAAGACTACATCCTTAAATCAAGACTAGTATTTTTGTTTTAATTTATGTTGACGTCTAGGTTAACAGTTCCATTGAAGAGCATTTTGCTAGTTTGGGTTCAATTTCAAAATAAGGGTTTTTTTGTTCTTGCAGTCACCTGTCGCAGATTCTATGAAAGGAAGTGAACAGAAACCAGCTTCATCATGTTTTAGTCCGTCGCTTTTACCAGAGGAAAATGAGAGATTTGAACCTACAGTTAAAAGGTGAGCTATTTAATATCTAAAAAAAAATGTAGAGTAACCTGTTTTAGAATGGTGTTATGCTTGTGGGAAGACGAAAAAGACATCGTGAACGATAAATAATGGAAAAATAGCCCTTTGACTTTTGCCAGTTAAAGCAAAAGTCTGTACCAATTCGTGAATGGATATTTATTTTGCACTGCATCTCAGAGTTGAGCGCACTAGAATAGGTCTGGTCACCGCTCCTTGTTCTGATTTTCGTATACAAATCATATATTAACTGTCTTTGTGATTGATTTTACTTTATTAGACGCCGCCGGCGCGATCCAAAGCCTAAAGAATCCCCAGCAGCTAAGCTTGTTCTACCCAAGGTACCCTCTGTGAAGAAGACTCCTAGCAGCTCATCAGGGGAGAGGTGAGAGAAAAAAGAGAATAAAGCACACATTTAAGCAGTCGAAAATTCATTATATTTCGAGATATGGGGTGTAGCAAGTGATTATTCCCTAACCTAAACGGTGAGCTAAACCGTGAACAGTGATCGGTACTCAACAGTCTGAATTTAAAACAACGGCCCACAAAAAAACAATAGCTAAGCTAAAATCCCGCCCCTCCCTTGCACCTTAAAAACGGCGCCTTCCACCCGGGCTACATGACGCTGTAACTATCTTAGTTCCTTTTCTTTCGTCTTTTTCTTTTTCAGTTCGACTTCATCTCGTTCACGACTCCGTCAACGAGACTCGGAAAAGTCTTTACCGGATGCTGACGATTTAATGGCTGAAATGGAACTGTGAAACTAAAACCTTGCGTTGATCACGTGACTTGTGAAATGGGCCGCTTTTTTGGCAGAAGATGCACTGATTCGAAATAACCCTAGCATGTGAAAGCACCAGACAGCTCCGCTTGTGATTCATGGACTGATTACTTAAAGATGGCCGATAATGGTCACCAGCACTTGTGCTTTATTGGATCAATATTGCCACCCTACTGATGTCAGAGGAAAAGAGACACTGTGCTCCAGACATGGCCAACAGGACCCATTCATGAACCCGTCCCCTACAATAGGCCTAATCGGCCTAATCACGGTTTTCGACGCCATCTTGCCGGGTAGGCAAAGCGGTCAGAAATTACAGTGTTTGTATGGGAATCGGATTTTCAATAAAACCTATTGCATCTGACTGGTGAACTTTCTTAGAGCAAGTCACAGTTGGTTTTTTCGTTGAAACTTGGTGGGTGATAGTGAATTATCTATTGTGCAGGCGGCATAGGGCAACAAGTTAGATTAGTTTCGTGTCCTCGAATTTGCGCCTCCCCCCC